CAAAGGGAAAGTAGCACTGGGCTGCTCCCAGCAAGGGGACCTATAATCGTTCTAGTCCATCAGAAGAAACTTTCCCAGGCAGTTCACTGCTACCCCTATCCGATACCATAGAAAAGTCATAGATTCCAGGCAAAAGCTGAACCCAGCCAAAAGTATGTTCAATCACCATATTCAAAGTATAGGACATATCCCATTATGTAGTTTGTCTGAAAAATTTTTTTTCTTAATTGTGGTAAAATACACATAATATAGAATTCACCATCCTAACCATTTTTGAGTGCAGTTTAATATTATGTAGATTTACATATTTGTGTGACTGATCTTCAGAAATCTGTCGTCTTGCAAAAGTGAAACTTTATGCCCATTAAACAACTTCTCATTTTCCTGTCTACTCAGCCTCTGGCAAATCCCATTCTACCTTTTCAATTAATTTGACTACTTTAGATACCTCATGTAAGTGGAATCATGCAATATCTGTCTTTTTGTGACTGGCTATTTCACTTAGCATAATATCCTCTCATGGTCAGAATTCCCTCACTTGTTAAGGCTGAATAATGTTTATACATATATATATAATAAATACACACATATATATATACACCATATTTTCTTTATCCATTCAGAAAATCTGTTTCTATATTTTAGGGCTATGATTCCGTTGCTCTCGTAGCATACAAATTATAAAGCTCAATTTATAATGTTCATGGTTTTATACCAAGAGAGACAGAGAGAGACTTGATTATATGATAGTTGTATTCCAAAAGAGGAAAAACAAGCTAACCAAACTGAACTCAATTCCATCATCAAGAAGCATCTCACCATTCCCCTCTACCTCGAAAATAAAAGTTGTATTCACTGTATAACCCCAGCTTCTAAAACAGGGCTTAGCACGTAATTGGCACTCAGTAAGTATTTATTGGCTGAATGAATCAAGAAGAATGATTGCTCATGAAATGAAAAGCACAAAGGTAGCAAGAAAATGCTATATGCATGATCTTCATTGAGCTAGCTCATCTGAACATATTATTCAAGAAAGCATCAATATATGTTGACATGGAAAAGTCTCCAAGAAGTATTTTTAAAGGAATCAGTATACAGTATGTTCCCTTTATGTAAAAATAATAAATACATATTTATAATATATACCTGAATAACATGCTCCAAATCCAACAGATTGATTACCTCTGGATTAGAGGAGCATAAAGATAAGGGGTAGAAAGGAAACATTTTGTTTGAATTTTATTTGCAGTGTTTGAATTATTTACCATAGAAATTGTTTTTGTATTGTTAGTAGAATATTTTTCAAGGAGAAAATCTAGAAGGATAATTTTTTATAAGAATAAATTAATTCAATTTACCTTACATGTGCCCTTTCTCAAAGAGCTACTGAAGAATTTGTTCACCAAAATTATAATAAAAAATTAAGAAAGGTGACATGGGATACAAGAAACAGGATCGAGCATGACAAAAAGGCAAAGGGAATCCCCAGCATAACAATGAAGAGAGAGCTCAAAGTAACAGCTGTGCATCAAACATCAAGAGCAACCCGTTGGGAGGGTGGGGGGAGGGAAGAGCAGCCAGTCTGGATGGGCAAAGCAGGTCAGAAAGCTGTATTCAAGAAGAAAAAATTGAATAGCTGTTATACTGGTACATCCTGAGAGAAATTTTAGATAACTGGCAAGGAACTTGCATTTAAATTAGTGAAAATTCCACAGAAAATTCTGCAAGCGCATACAGAAAGAACACTCTGGAGGAAAACAAAGTAAAGGGGAAATAATCATATGTTACATAACTCAGCTCTTCATAGTGTATAGGAAAGCATAATAATTTGACCTAACTAAATACTGACCTAACTAAAAATTATGAGATAATTATGTCCTGAGGATGAGTGGAAAAAAGAGGAAGGATGAATGTGAGTGGTGAGTACAGGAATGCAAAAGAAAGTGAAATCCTCATATTCTGTGCTGAAAAGACAATACATGATGACTAAACTTGAAAAATCAAAGAGGAGCAATATAAGCATTATTTAGAGACATGAATAAGCACCAATTAGCTAAAAGAGATGAACATGAATGCTCTTTTAAAAGCAGAAAATGAACCTTACAGAATTATTTGAACTATATGTACATTACAACTTTAATAAAACTAAGAAGTAAAAAAGGAAAACATATCACAACCAAATGCTCACTTCAGTGGCACACATACTAAAATTGGGACAATACAGAGATTAGCATGGCCCCTCCACAAGGATGACACACAAATCTGTGAAGCTCGCTCTCTCTCTCTCTCTCTCTCTCTCTCTCAGCACCTGGTATTCCTAGGTGGTCTTCCATCCAAGTACTAACCAGGCCCAACCCTGCTTAGCTTCCGAGATCAGAAGAGATAAGGCGAGTTCTGAGTGGCATGGCTGTAGACTTGAAGCATTCCATATTTTTAATGAGAAAAATAAAAGCACAACTGAGATTGACATCAGCATATTTTAACAATGGTTTTTTTTGTTTGTTTGTTTGTTTTTTTGCAGGAAATAATTGCCATGTAGACTTCTGCTGTGACACAAAGAAATAACCGAGTTATAGGTAGGATGGCCACTTTCACTTCCAACACTATGATTCTCCCAGAAGTGTGATGAAAGTCACTTGCAGAATGTTTGAATTCTTCAGCCTATATTGAAAACCCAGGATTAAAAGCCCAGTGAGAAAGAAAAAAAGGCAAGACATATTTCAGTTCTAGTATTTACCAAATGCTTGATGGTTTTGACAAAGATGTCCAAACAAACAAACAAAAAAAAATAGCTACGGTAGTGAATTGGAAATAGGCAAGATAAAGCCAAAATGTGTGGCATGCGAACATGCTGTCTGGGTCTTTCCTCTCTCCTCTGGGTACAAGCAACTTCAATGCTATTCAAGCCCTTGTCTATCAAGACAAGTTTATACTACTTCAGGATACTAGTCCCCAATTTTAACCCCAAAAAGAGGGCTTATGCCAAGTTCCATCTCAAACGTTTTACAAGTGTGGGGCTGCGGGGGACCTAAGAAACTGCCAAACGGATTCTTACAGCTAAACCCAGATGTCAGTCAAGCTAGAAAATATCTAACGCTTTATCGGCCATGGAAAAATCCAAAGCAGGTGAGAAAGATGAAACAACAAAATTTATATACAATGGAAAAAACTGAAGAGCTTGGATCCCACTCTGGCAGTTAAGGGTGAGCCATCTTCTCCACAGAATGATCAAAATCATATGTATAGATAGAATATCCATGCTCTTAATGTTTTAAAGCACTGACTTGGGTTCACATCTCAACTCTGTTCTCCCTCAGCCTCATTTTCCTCCCCTGTGAACCAATGGGGTGGGAGGGGCAATGATATGTAGACCTCATATTGCCAGGATGAAACAACAATCAAACTCTTGCAAACCTGCGTAATATATTAGGTATTATTCTAAGTGCACCGTATACATAGCACCTTATTTAAACTTCAAATTATAAATATCATCCTATTTTCCAGTTAAGGAAGTCAAACCACAGAAGCTAAGTAACTTGCCCAAGATCATAGCTAGTGGTTGAAAGAGGACACTAATTCAGGTGATCTTGCTCCAAAGAAAGTTATCTTAACAACCAGACAGTGCCAAAATGAGCTCACGTTTGTTAAGCACCTTATACTATGGCTAAAATATAATGTGCCCAATAATGGTACTTATTCACACATAGCGTGTGCCAGTACAAACAAAATAGGTAAGTGATAGCCAGGCTGAGGTTTGGCCGCCTTATAAGAGACCAAAGCATGACCAGAGTCTCCACACTTCTCCCTACCACCCCAAGCCAACTTCTTTGCCAAGTGTCCCAAGCGGCCGAGGTCGCCCTCCCTCTCTAAGCCCCTAGAACGACCTGTTGCGCTAAGCGCCAGCAGTCGAGAGAAGCCTGCGCGCGTTACTAGAAGCTGCGAGTTCCCGGTGGTGCCAGGTAGGGGATGGAGCGGCTGGTGGGGCGGGTGTTTACCTTGACCAGCACTCTCATCGCTCTGGGACTCCGGCGCAGGGCTTGAGGGGATAGGGAACGCATAGGTGCTCGTGCCTCTGGCTGCTTCAAACTTCACCTTCTTTCCTCCCCTGCTCCCAGCTCGCGCCATCCAGTCTCCTCTATCGCCGGCGAGAGGTAGAAGCAGAGAGCTGCTTCCTCTGCCGGGACGTATCCCTGACGCCCTAAACTGAAGCCCCCGCCTCGTTAGGTTTCCGCTTGACCCACCTCCACGCTGGACCCATTCCAGCTCCTGAAACTGGGGCTGCGGGACCTTCTGTTTAGCAGATGCCCTACGTTAGGTGAAACCTCAGATAGGATAATTAGCTTTGAGTGCAAACCAGAGAGTTTGAACGGGTAGTTTGTAAATCTTAGCTATTATAGATCTCAGTTAGATGCTAGTGCGACTGGCTCAACCCACAGCCACCCAGGGCCCTGGGCTCAGATCTGGTAAATCGCTTAAGGCTCTTTGCCCCGCCGGCGCCCGCTGTCCAGCTTACCTGTAAGCGCTCCACAGTGGATCGGTCTTTCATCCTTGACTCTCAGGTCCCACTACCAAAGCCTTATCTGAACTTCTCACTTCTGGAGTCAGATGTGGGCTCCACCTCCGCACATTGCCTTTTACAGCCCAGTACATTTGTCACAATACCTTTTGGCCTCGGTTACCTCCAGTGAAGAAAGGAGGTGATTCCGACCTTAACTCTATCAAAGGAGTATAAGGAGGGTCAACCAGGGTGTTTACTCTGATCTCAGACATATTTTACGGTTTAGTGCTGTGATTTGTTGAGTCAGTGGGTGGGAGGAGGTCTTTGTAGATGTAAATGACTGCACTGCTTTTACTACCTAGGAGCCACTGGGTGTGTCAAGTGACCCCTCAGGGCCTGAGTTCACTTATCTCTGCACTGGGAATGATAGCGAATAAACCTACCTTTCTCAGAGGTTATACAGAACAAAAGAAATCCATAAAAGACCATAAAAATGCTTTCCTGATTTGTTATTTTCTGTGGGTGCCTCTGGCTGGATAAAGGCAGTCTGGATAAAGGCTGTGGTCAGTGACAGAGTGGATCTCAGTATATTGGCAGAAGTGATGCACATATATCACTACTGTTGTAATTAACGATGCTAGCTATTTATCTCTGATAATTGACTTCAAATTAGGGGCACCAACCTATTCAGTCCTTTCTAAATATCTGTCTAGTGAGCTCGCATTTGCAGACACGTTTAAAAGGTTTTCCCCCCATTTTTCCATGTGCTTTTAATGAACATTTGTTTATTAGAATTCTTGAACATCTCATATGTGTATTAACATTTGTTGTTGTTTTTCTATCAACACATTTAATCTCCTTTCCTCTTTTTCCCTCCTTATCTCCTTCAAAATGTTAATGATCTGTTAGCAGTCAAAAAGGTTTAGAAGCATCCCTGTCACAGCACTGAACACTGGGAGCTCTCAGAAATCTGCAGGCCCACCAAGAAGACCAGACATTTGGAACCCCAGATTCTTAAGAGTCTTGGTGCACTGTGACTACTATCTTCTAGTTTAATCTCTTTGGTGCATTTACATGTTAGGATGGGCATGCATTCTTTTCAGATCAAGCTTCAAGGCACAGAGTTTAAAATACAGGGCAATTCTAGGGCTTATGGCATCTAATGTGTTATTTATGAGCTGTCTTTAGTTCCCAAGCTATATCAAAAACACCTGAGGCATTTGTTGGGAGTACAGATTCCCAGGCCCCACCCACTCCACCCAGACCATCTTTACTGGAATTTCTGGTGTGGGGCCCAGAAATCTGTATCTTTCACAACTGCATTAATCAACTTAAAATCTTGTCTATAAAAGTCTTCTGGCCATAAGTATACCTATGTCCAGAAACTAGCTACAAAACTTAAATTTCGAATGTTCATCAGCAGTTCAGTGTGGTTTGATTCAGGCCAACAAATATTTCCTGAACACGAACTGTTTCTCAAGTATCCTGCTGGGTACTGGGAAAACAAAGATGAATAAGACATTGTCCAGTCTGCAAGGAGTATGAGTTTGTAGGAGGAGAAACAATCAAAACTGAAACAGTACCTGGGGCACCATTGGTAACACTTGGGTCAACATAAACAGCACTTTATTTTTCATTTGTTGCCCTCCCTAACCCTTTCTTCCTCTTCCCATTCTTTCCTCCACTGTTTTCTTCTTTGTCAGGGCTCTGTTTTTACCCTGGATATTTTAAATGTTTTATTCCTGATCTAATATAGCTTTAAGATACGGCTCCAACTTTGAAGGTCAACCTAATGATTTCAAAATGGAAGCAAACAACTGATTTTTCAGTAGAGGAAAATAAATTACTTTCCTTTTTTTTAATTTGTAAAGATCTTAATGAGTCCCAGTAAGTGGAAGCCACTAAAGGGTGCTTTCTAATATGTGGATTCTTCTCCTGAAGAAAATTATTTCAAGCTTGGTTTTGGTTTTGCTTCATTTCCTTTATTTGGACAGGGGTGAGTTGTTTGCCCAATAATACTTCTCAGCCTCTCTGAACATCCTAGTAAAAAGAATCAGAAATAAATTGCTCTGTTTCTTTGCACCAAGAAGAAGAAAGGGCACCATAGGAAACTTCTTGCCCAATCCATCATGGTATATTATCATCTCTGATTCATGTCCCCACTTTGGGTCACCACCACTTTCCTCTCAGAAGCATAAAGAAAACAAAATAAAGGCAGTGGTAATCTAAAGGGGGTAATGGAAACTATGATAAGCTAAAGAGCGGTCCACAAGCGAAGGAAGGTAAGGGTTGTTCATTTAAAAAGTCAGTTAAAGATGTATTGCCTGTAATGAGGGATGAAATGCAGTTCTCCCAACCCAAGCCTGTATAACTGTTTGTTTTCAGACTTTCCTATTCAAACCCAAGGTGTTGAGTTTGAGTTCCATCCATTCATTCTCCTAAATTGCTATAAATCAAACTTCCATTTAAAAGAAAGCAATATATTTTTCTTCTGCTTGCTAAATAAGTTTTTCTCTTATTCACTGCTTCTGTGGCACTGTGCTCCCAATTTGTGCTTCTATTTGCTATGAAAACAGATTGTTTCTCCTATCACATAAGCAAAGATTAAAATATTCATGGTTGGCAAAGCGGAGAAAGAAATAAGAACCCTCAAATACTTTTGTTGAGAGTTTTAAATGAAACCCTTTTTGAAGGCATTTTAGCGATCTGAATTCAAGGCATATATCCTTTTTCATCGTAATTCCAGTCCTAGTATTTCATACTTCAGAAACACACAAAGATATGTG